ATCATAAGCCGCCACACGCCCTATTTCAGCCCGCCCCTCTTTGCTATGTATATAAGCAATCGCCTAACAATAAAATTTGGAGGCTTGATCAGAACACTGTCTTGCCTCTATTCTGCGTGTCTCCTGTCTCTTTCTCTCTTGGTCTCTCTCTCTCTTTTCACCAGCAGCAGGTAGTCCTCCTCGTGCCCACGTTTTACTTGTCCCGCTGGTCGGGACAAAGGGAATGTTATGACTTTTAATCTTCTCTCCAGACCATTGAAACTTTCTCCCTATCAGCAACAAGGCTGTTTTGCTTTCTTCTCATTCGTGGGTTCACTGGAGTAGCACTTTTAATTTCCTTCAAGAACTTTTCCTTTACATTCACAACTTGGCTCACTTTCTGCCCATCTCAGCTTTTGATATGACTTCCTCACTAAGCTTAATCATTTCTAGTCTTTGATACAACATGACAGACATGAGACTCTTCCATTCACTTGAACACTTAGATACCACTGTAGGATTATTAATTGGCCTAATTTCAATATTGTTGTGCCTCAGGGAACACAGAAGCCCAAGGAGAGGGAGATTGGGAAATGGCCGATTGGTGGAGCAGTAAGAACACACACATTTATCAGTTAAGTTCACTATCTTACATGGATGCTGTCCAAGGCACCCCAAAACAATTATAGTGGTATCATCAAAGATCACCAATCACAGATCAGCTTAAGATATAATAATGTCTGAAATATTGTAAGAATTACCAAAGATATAATAATGTTTGAAATATTGTAAGAATTACCAAAATGTGACACAGACATGAAGTGAGGACATGATATTGGAAAAATGGTGCCAATAGATACTCAAAGCAGGTTGCCACAAACCCTCACTTTTTAAAAAAAACCTCAGTATCTGCAGAGTGCAATTAAACAAGGTTTGCCTGTACTCAAAAGTAGCATGTCATTAAATTCTATCTTCCAAAGATAGTAAAGTTTTTCTTCAAAGCATAAAACAAATAATGCACCAAACATTTAGATACTTACCTAAGATTCCTTCTACAGCATCATGCTGAACAAATTTTATGCTTGAGATTTTAATATCTGCACCTGTGCAATCCACAAAAGTATCACCTTTACCCCTCTTTTCTATCACAATATCATCTGGTAGACCATATCCTAAAGCAGACAGAAAAAAACACAAGATGGGTAAAGGGAACTATCTAAACACAAAAATGCTAGAACAGATTTCTATAGCTCAAATGACTCCAAATGATGAGACCAGTAGACCATCTCAATAGAGTTCAATAGGCTGGAGTGCAGTGGCATGCTCATGGCCACTGCAGCCTCGACCCGCTGGGCTCAGGTGATCCTCCCACCTCAGCCTTCCAAGTAGCTGGAA